CAATTTTCTAGATTTGGTTTAAGGGTTTGGAATAAATTTAAACACCAAAATGACACATTTTAGGGAGTTTATGGCCTAGCATGGTCTCATGGCCGTAAACTCCTATAAACCCATGAAAAGTTGTGTTTTTGGATTCCAAACTAATCACATGTGATTGCTAAAATTGTTTCAAGACCTTACATGTATTTACTTGATGTTTTGAAGGGATTTTTGGAGTTTACGGCCTATGAGACCCCTCTCATGGCCGTAAACTCTCTTAGAGAGTGATTCCATGCGTTTTAATGTCAAAAACTTGTTTGAAAGGACTTCTAAAATTCCCTTAAAGCCTTGAAATGAGTTTGGGACACATTATTGACACACTTTTTGGAGTTTACGGCCATGGAACACATGCTATGGCCGTAAACTCTTAAATGAAAGGGTTTTGATGTGTTTAAGGCCCTTAAACTATTTTTGGTTGGTCCTATGATTTATTCCAAGGCTTTTGGTGGTGTTGGATGGCTTTCTAACACCTTAGAAATGAATTTGCACCGTGTTTCATGGAGTTTACGGCCCAAGCACAAGCCTTGGCCGTAAACTCACAATAATCACTCAAAAATTATGTTTCAAGTGTCCAAATGCTAATACCAATATTCTATAATTCATATCTAAGCCATATTAGTGATTTGGAAGGGTTTAAGGTCAAGAATACCCCATAAATATGAGTTTACGGCCCAAGCTTGTGCCTTGGCCGTAAACTCCTTCAAATCCATCAAAAACCATGTTTTAAATGTTAAAAGTCCTTTCCATGAAGCCATTAAGCCATATCTAAAGTCCAATGGTGTTTAGGAAGGGTTTTTGTGCTCCAAAACCCATTATATATGAGTTTACGGCCTAAGAGGGTTCCAGGGCCGTAAACTCATGAATGATGTCTTAATCCATGCTTTGAACTCGAATTTGAAGGCTAAGAAGGTTACATAACAAGCTAGGGAAAGTACCTTAGAGATTTGAGGCCTTAAATTTGAGTTTTGGACCCTTAATCTTGGATTTAGGAGAGAGGTTAGAGAGAGAGTAGAGAGAGGAAGAAAAAGCTTCAAATAAGTGCTTAAACATGTTTATATAGGTCCTAAAACTTGGATACTGCGGAATTCTACCCGATACCGGCATTAAACGAAGCTTTAACTCACACCCGATTAAGTTTCCGTCACCCGGCGGGGATGTTTCTAAAACTTATGAAATAAATATTTTAGGCTAATTACATGAGTTCCTAAGTGGTTTAGACACTTATTAAATTATAATAAACATATAAGTTTAAATAATTTAACCCAAAGTGAAAACGGAACGAATTTGATAACGGCGAATTTTTCGGGTAGAACGGGTTTTGGCGATGAACAACTTCGGGTTGTTACAAGTCCCTACACTGAAGAATGAGAAACATGATCTCAATAGAATCAAGTACGCGAATTTCACTGACCTTAAAGAGACTACAGCATAGCTTCAATCAGAAAGACATGAACATGAGGTGCCCTTAGTCGAAAGGGAAGCCGGGGCAGCAAGACTAAGATAATTGACAATAACCATCTAAACCCGTTTACTCGCTCAGACCTGAGAAGCCTAGTCAGAAACCCTAAGGACTGTTCCGACAGCCTAGATACCCGAATGGAAATGGTAAAATAACCAACATGGACTTCACCATCAAGTTATCCAGTTTTCCCGAGTGATTATGATACCATTTGGAAATGGCCAATCCTTCGATAAAATCCATTCACTTCCTTCTGATCAAAGAATCGTTCAAGATAGTAAGACTCACGCAAAACCACATCTAAGAAGTAGTCCGACTGTATAGTATACCTGCGTCCATTATTTTTGGTTGGGATAGCAGGTTTACCTCAAGATTTAGGCAGATTTCTTTAGAAAACTCACGGAACCAAGCTAGACACGAGTACAACCTAACATCCTAAGACAATTGGACAGAGTAAGAGATTTATTCAGGTCGTGGAGTACATGCTGGGAACATGTGTCATAAATTACTGAGCGACTTGGGATACCCCTTTACCTTTGATCTATCAGTCGTATAATAACAATTATCTCACCAATATCCAGACTACACCATTTGGAACCCTCTACAGTCAAAAGTACGGATTTCGTTGTGTTCGGCCAAGATAGGATACACGCAGCTAACCTAGAGTCGATTCCCCGGTAGTACCCACACTAGTTCTGAAATCATCCGCGAAACCATCAAGAAAATCATCTAGACCCGAGAACAATTGAAAACTTCACTAGATCGTTAGAAGAATCACACCAATGTATAATGAAAACCTCTGGAAATTTCAGGTTGGAGATCATGTCCTGTTAATGGTCTCGCCCTGGAAAGACATGGCACACTATGGAAAGCATGGAAAGTTTAAGTCGTGGTACATTAGACCATTCGAGGTCTTTATTAGGATCAAACCCGTAGCCTTCGAACTCTGAGTATCTTCAGAACTTAGAAACATCCATCTTGACTCCCACGTTCAAAATCTTTAGAAGCACTTGTCCGATTAAACCCTAATGATTCCTCTTGAACAAATCGAGACCGAGAGATCAAACGTACGAAACAAAACCACGTCCTGATAGTGAAGGTTCGCTGGACTTCCAAGCGAGAACCTGATTTCACCTGGGAGCGCGAACACCCGATACAGTAGACACATCCGCATCCTTTTCCATAAGTTATATCTTAATCATTGAATTTCGGGATGAAATTCCCTCTAACGGGGGGATAATGTAACAACTCGAAGTTTTCCATCGTCGAAAACCCATTCTACCCGTAAAAAAATTCGACGTTTGTCAATTCGTTCCGTTTTCGTTTTGGGTTAAATTGTTTAAATTTATATGTTTATTATAATCCAATGAGTGTCGAAACCCTTTAGGAACTCATGAAATTAACCCAAAAATGTTTATTTCAAAAAGTTCGAAACATCCCCGCCGGATTACGGAAACTTAATCGGGTGCGACCTAAAGCCCCGTTTAATGTCGGTATCGGGTAGAATTCCATCGTGTCCAAGTTTTAGGACCTATTTAAACGTGTTTAAACATTCATTTGAAGCTTTTTCTTCCTCTCTCTACTCTCTCTCTAACCTCTCTCCTAAATCCAAGTTTAAGGGTCCAAATCATCAATTTAAGGCTCCAAATCTTTGAGGTACCTTCCCTAACTTGTTATACAACCTCTCTAGCCTTCAAATTGGAGTTTAAACCATGGATTAGGACCATTATCATGACTTTACAGCCCTAGAACAGTCCTAGGCTGTAAACTCAACTAAATGGGGTTTTTGGAGCAACAAAACCCTTCCAAACCACAATTGGACCTTAGATATGGCTAGATGACTTTATGGAATGGACCTAGAATGCTTTAAACCATGATTTAGAGCCTTGTATATGAGTTTACGGCCCTGGATGGTGCTTAGGCCGTAAACCCATATTTAAAGGGTTTTTAAGCCCTTAAACCCTTCCATGACTCAAACTAGACATAGATATGATTTTTAGAATATTAGTAATGGACTTAGAACACTTTTAAACATGGATTTTGAGGGATTTATATGAGTTTACGGCCAAGGCATGTGCTTGGGCCGTAAACCCCTCAAAAATGTGAGTAAACTCATTTACAATGTGTTAGAAAGCCATCCAACACCACCAAAAGCCTTAGAATAAATCATAGATCCAACCAAAAATAGTTTTGGGGCCTTAAACTCAACCAAACCCATCATTTGAGAGTTTACGGCCATAACATGTGTCCCATGGCCGTAAACTCCTAAAAGTATGTCAATTGGTGCCCCAAATTCATTTCAAGGCTTGTAGGGATTTATAGAATCACATATGATTGATTTAGGACCAAAAACATTAAGGATTCTATGTATGGGGGAGTTTACGACCGTAAACTCCATGTTTACAGCCGTAAACTCCAATAAATGGCCCCTATGTGAAGTCAATCCATTCCAAGGCCTTAGATTTAATCCTAGCAAATTTTCCCTAGTCATATGAAGCCATTTAACAATCAAAAACACCCCACCATGAGTTTACGGCCGTAAACTCATGGGGAATGGGTACTATGGGCCGAAAACTCTTGTATGAGTTTACTCTTGGGGAGTAAACTCAAATTCCAAGTCCCTTGTGCCATCACTACAAGAAAAAAGGCCTTTTACGACGCGCAAAATACGACGCTCATTGATCTATGTTACGCAAAGGAGAGTGACATTAGAAAAATGTCATCTCTTCAAAAATTTTAAGGATAGAAGACACGCATTATTGCGCGCCCTTAAATTAGTGTCTAAAAAAAACACGGAGGGCACCTATAATAAAATGTGCGTCGTCTACGGATGTCGCTTTATATTTATTAATGGAACGCGCGTTCCATCCTTTAATAGTGGGGGAAAGGGGGAAATGAAATTCTGAAAAAATTAAAAACCCCGCCATGCTCTCCTCTACCTTCTTTCAATCATTCTTCTCTCTCTCTCTCTCTCTCCCTCACCATTGTCGGTCCTCACACGTCAGACGACCGCACCGCCACCATTAGACCCACTTACCACTCCAAATCGTCATTGTTGCTCCTCTCTTAAACCACTGCAACCACCCTTCTCTCTCTCCTTCTAAAATGCTCATTTATGACCACCATCACACCAGCCACTACACCATCACCATTAGCAATGCACACCGCACCACCACTACCGTTCCTCTTTCTCCATACGAAAAAACCCTAATTTGTATGTGCTTACAGGTTTTAAAAATTAAAATGAGAGTGCATTGAAATAGGTGACCTAAAAGATGAATGCACATGAAAATCCATCGTTGGAGGTAGGTTTTTCTCACTAATCTTTACTCTTCCTCAATGTTCTTTGAAATTTTACATTATATATTTCTCATCTGTACATGTACCAGAAGTTGTTTTCTATTTTCCATTTAATTTCACCCAACTTGTTTCTTAAATGAGTTTTTTCCTAATCTTGTGGTCAATTTGTTTTCTATTTGGAATCACAGCTGTTCATGTAGTTTTACAGAAGAATGATTTGCATGAGAGGGATGATGGGGAGCTTGAAAGAATAGGTCAACCGTTCCAGCAAAAACCCCTGAACCTTCATTTTTCGAGAAATTCCCTTGATGCCCCTGACTCGAAAACTATTTTTCCCCCCTGTAGCTTCTTTTGAAAACAAATTTCCATTATTTCCTTTGGTTTTCTTCACCACATCAACAAACCCATCATTTTGTTCCTTAACTTCTTTAGTGCTGGCAAGAAGCACTTGCATAAGATCCACAATAGCTCCTTCTTTTCCTTTCTCTGTTTTACTTCTCTCCTCTTCTTCTTTCATCTGAATAGCAGTAACATCAATCGAGATCAGTGGAAATTGGTTTTCATTTTTTATAGTTGATACTTGAGAAAACCTTATATGTTTTTTTTATTTTGTAAAAATTAATTCCAGATGATGGTTTATAAAGAAGATATAGTAAACTACACTTCTGGCCTTGAGTGCAGCTAGTTTTTTTTTTAGTTTGGTCCCAAAATGTCCTCTTTCACTTGCTAAAGATTTAGGCTTCCAGCTACTCTCTGATGATATTGATATCAGACATTCAAGGAATGGTAAGGCGTAGATGGCATTTGTATTTTCATTTGGTATAACTTTCTGTTTAGCTCCTTTTACCTGTTTACTTTTTTTTCTGTCCACTTATTGGTTTTTATTCTTCTTTTACCCAATTCCAATGATCTACATGATGGATTGCACAGAAAATGACTGTAGTTCACTACTCAAGTCATCAACTAAGGTACTTGATATCCCTTGATTTTGGCTAGTGTATGTATTTGTAAATTCAATTAAAAGTTTTGATATGTGTATATCATGTTCCATGTTAGAGGCATGGGATATCATGTTTACATCTATGAAATGTTGACTACATGTTCATCTCAATGGTTTATAACATCAATTCCGATAATATACTATATTCACTATTGTTATTGTGGCCTTTCAGGTTTTGTTTAAGAATCTGAATGTTGATTTGAAGGAAGTAAGCCCATCATCCCTTCTTATGGACAAAGTGAGAGAAGTTGAAGGAAGCCCTGATTTTTCCAACAAGATGTCGGGTCAACTCAACAACCACCAATGGTTGGAGAAGTTAAAAAAACAAAGTATTATCTTATTGATTAGCGATTACTGGTGTTGAGCTTTAAGCAATTTCAGGCCCTCTATTTATTAATCTTTTATAAGCTAGATTGTTGTTTTCTTTCCTTTTTATAAGTTGAATTGTGGCTAGAAATTATAGTCATCTATTCAAAGAAGGTGTTGGAACGTGAGTTCAAAATGATGACCCTTTTACATATAAATTTGATTAACAGATTGTACAATGAAATGCAAAGAATAATTATGGGAAGGAGGTTAAGTATTAATCTCATGAATGCTGCAAACGTATTTGTTTCTCTCAATTCACCTTTTGAAGGACCTGGCACGTGTCTATATTACAGAACCTGTAAGTTTTTTTTTCCTTTCTTTTATGGGTAAACTACAGGAAATAACCTCCTACTTTATTACTCTGTATAGGATGTATATGTAACAATTCTTTACACATGATATCAAACAGGAAAATGAGGTAGCTAACTAAACTAACTACTTCGATTTTCATATACTTCAATAAAAAATTAAAATATATTATGTTTGTTAATGATTTTGTATTGCAGGTACCTTTTCAACACTTTGCTGAGAAAATTGGTGGCTATCTTTTGAATAGGAGGAGTTAGTAGGTATTTAGACATGCATACCAAAGATAACATTTTGTACATAGAGTTCTTGGCACATAGGAAGCTAGATAATGCAATTGTATATAAATGAGTTCATTTTTTTTATAACATTTACTCACTACTCGAATAGTTATTTGTATTTGACATATTAGTGAAATGAATTATCTTTGTTATTTATGGTATTTTATTTTGTATTATGAGATTTTTAATGTATTATTTAATTTGAAAATTAGAAAAATCTATAAATAATATTTTTTTTAAACATTTAAAATTATGATACGCGAAAATGTGTGTCATCTTCATTTATGACATGGCCTTTCTTGACAGTGGCTTTCTTGATACGCATTGCGTGTCATTAACACGCGCGTCGTAAGGTTACGACACGTGAATGCATATCGTCTTCCTTTATGACAGGGCCTTCCTTGATACGCATTACGTGTCGTAAACGCGTGTCGTAAATGCGCATCGTAAATGAGCGTCGTAAATGCGTGTCGTCTATAGACGACGCGCAAAAGCGCGTCGTCTTTCTTTATGACAGGGCCTTCCTTGACGCGCATTTGCGCGTCGTCTGAGCCTTTTACGACGCGCAATGAGCGTCGTAAAAGGCCTTTTTTCTTGTAGTGCATTACACGTCCGTAGATGTCACCCGGGTCCTTCCAAACACTTGAAATAAGGTGTTTCCGCAACTAGAAGTGTTTGTCCCTAACAAATAAATAATTTAAGTCCTAATTAGATACAAATGTGTATCTTTTCATTATACATAGGAATCTCATACGTTTGCAAGCCCCAATCCAACGTTTAGCATCCGAAATCGTCACATTTCTCGTCCGGTGAGTTCATACCCCTACCATTTTCACTGTTTTCACTGTTTTCAGGGAGGGGGGGGGGGATACAAGCAATGTACAAGTAATACTTGTACTCAAAACTTATTTTATATGTGTTGTATTTCATACTACATATGTTTCTAACACTGTTAATCGCATAAGTCCTAATTAGATACAAATGTGTATCTTTACATTATACATTGTTGTACCTTATATTTTCACAAATGGTTTTCCACATTATAATTGTTAAAAACATAATCCTTGATCATTGAACTAGAAAACTTAGTATATCATTTTTTTCCTCGGAGAACACTCCACAGAACGCGAGTGGAGGACCGCCCCTGTACGGGACTGACTATCCCGCACCTGGTTGCTAGCTACAGCCGAACCGAAAGGTTCAAGGGTGACAAAATTCATAGTGATATTGGCCTTCCTTTGCCATATTTCGTCTTTAGTATGGTTATAGAACTCGCAATTTGGATAACAAAGATTTACTTTATAGTAATAATGGGTTAAGTAACTAGCTTACTTGGTATATATTAGTTTTATAAACATGTTAAAACTAATACATTTTCAGCATACATCTTTTACATTACTTATCGGGTCAGTAAACTAACGCACACTTTACAAGGGTAACCAGGCATTCAATATACATCTTTCACATTAGGAAAATATAGGATTTTCTTGGGTAATCACAATTCATAACCAAAACAGTGTAACATAACAGAACAATTAAACTTTACTTTCAGTATACATCTTTTACATTACATTTTGGGTTGGTAAACAAACACACTTTACATGGTTAATCAGGTTTTCAGTATACATCTTTCATATTAGGAGAATATGGGATTTTCCTTGGGTTGTAACATTTTCAGAAATCAAAAGGAATCTTATACTTTTTCATAAAAACAAACCGCTTATGAACTCACCAGCTTTATGCTGATTTTTAAAATGCTTGTATTCTCAGGTTCTGCTTAGACAGGTACTCTGCATCCTTTTGCAGAAGACGGAGCTAATGGAAGTCACGTCTTTCTTTTGTTTAACCTATGTATCTATAAAACTTGTACTACTTTACTTTTCAACTGATGTAATGAAATCCATGTAATGTAATGTAATGTTTTGTGTTTTACTTCGCTTACTATGTACATTGGTTATGATATTCACATGATGTCACCTCCGCCCCGAGACGTTTCCGCCTTTGGTTTCGGGGTGTGACATTAACCCATATATAAAGTTCAAAAGACTTCATTTGAAGCCTTTCCTCTCTCTCACTACTCTCTCTCTAACCTCTCTCCTCAAACCCATGTTTTAGGTCCAAAATGATCAAATTTGAGCTCCAAATCACCAAGGTAACCACCCTAACTCCTAGTATAACATCTTAGACCTTCAAATTCGTGGTCAAACTATGGAATATGACCATTATCATGAGTTTACGGTCCTAGAACAGTTCTAGGCCGTGAACTCATATAAAATGGGTTTTGGAGCCCAAAAACCCTTCCAATCGACCTTTGGAGCTTAGATATGGCTAAATGGCTTAATGGACTGGATTTAGAACACCTTAAACTCAAATTTTGGGGGGTAAACATGAGTTTACTACCCAAGAATATGCTAGGGCCGTAAACTCTATATCATGGGTAGTAAACTCATTTTAAAGTGTTAAAATGCCATTTAAACACACCAATAGCCTTGGATTAAATTCTAGAATCAACCACAATCATTTTAGGGGCCTTAAACATGTTGAAAACCTCCCCTTTGAGAGTTCACGGCGGTAAACCCCCCTAGAATGGGTTCCTGGGCCGTAAACTCATATACACAAGTCAAATGATGTCCTAAATTCATTCTAAGGCTTATAAAATTGGTTTGAATCACATGTGATAGATCTAAGACCACCAAATCATTTATATAAGAAGGGTATAGGAGCTTACGGCTGTAAACTCCTAGTTTAGGGCCATAAACTCCCTTTGATGGTCCCTTTGGTGGTTTAACTCATTCCTATGCCTTAGATTAAATCATAGCAACCCTTCCCTAGAGTTATTTGACCATTTAGCACCATAAAACCCCACATCCATGAGTTCACATCCGTGAACTCATGTGAAGTTGGTCTTAGGGCTGAAAACTCCATAGGGAGTTTACTCTTGAAGAGTAAACACATTATCCAAAGTCCTATACGTCCATAGATGTCACCCGGGTCACTCCAAACACTTGATTTGAAGTGTTTTCTCATAACGGAGTGTATAATCATAACTAATTAGTGATTTAAAGTCTAATTAGATACATTTGTATATCATTTCACATTACATAGGAACCTTATCAAGCCCCGAACCGATATTTAGCATCCAAACCGTCACGTTTTCTCTTCCGGTGAGTTCATACCCCTACCCTTTTCAACGTTTTCCAATGTTTCCAGGAGGGAATACAAGCAAAAGTAGAAGAATATCTTGTACTTAAATTCATTATTTCGTTTGAATGGTTTCATAATCCGTAAACTTTTAAGAATTGAAAACATATTAACAAACTGTTTGACTTGCAGAGTTGTTTTTCAAACCAATTTCAACTCTTATTATATAGTCTTATACCTTATACTTCGCAATTGATATTTCACACATTTACTGTTTGAAATCATAGAACTTTTGTATTGTCCTTAATAAAACACCCCCTAATCACGAGTGTGAAGGACAGGTATCGTTAGAACTTAGTCAGGTCCTAGTTAGTACTCCCCCTAGATACGAGAGTAATGAACTAATAAAACAGGGTTTCC